TATATATACACACACACACACACAGAGGATTTCTCATACGCATCACTTCGTACGCATTGAGGCTAATTCATCCGATTGTGGGTTTTTTCGCAAAAAAACCGCTGATTGATCGTACCTCGTGACCGCTACGGTTTTTAAAGGGCTGGATTTTTTTGCAAAATGTTACCGATAAATCTCCTCTCGTGACACAAAATGGGTCTTTCTCTCTCACCACGACAGCGATCTCCAGCTCACTCTCGTGACCCAAAATTTCAACCATTGAGATCCCTAATCCCTCCTCAGATCTTCAATCGGAGCTCCTCCTCCGTCTCCTACGAGGCATCCACAACATCGATGATCTCCAGCTCCCTCTCATGGCCCAAAATCTCTCCCCACGAGATCCCCAATCACTGTCCTGAGATCTCTAGTCGGACCTCCCCCGCGGCATCCACAACGACGACGAGCTCGATCTTCAGATCCGCAGCTTCCAGATCCGCCATCCCCAACTCAGGTTTTCCATTTCTCAGCTCAATCAAACTTATTAATTGAATTTTTTTACCTATTTCCGACAAATACTTTATCTTCTATAATGAACCACAAATAGAATTTGATTACAAATACTTTATCTCCAGATCCGACAAATACTTTATCTCCAGTCGTGTGAGCAACCCCCCACAAATAGAATGAACCAAAAGGTCGTTTGGTGAATGGTTTGTTGAATCATTAGACAGAATAAGTTTGATTAATTAATTCTTTTGGTCTCGGTAGCCTTTTACTCTTTTCTGAACATTAGACAGAATAAGTTCTTGATTGATGGTTTGGTGAATGGTTTGGTGAATCAGGACAGTGATTGAATAAGTTCTTGGATTTAATTAGCCTTTTAATTATTATTATTATTTTGCTTCTTGTTATTAGTGAATCAGGACAGTGATGTGGGAAACAAATTTGGTGAATGGTTTGGTGGGATTAAAATATATGTATCTGCTAAAGGGGTTAATATATTTTTAACATGGTTAATTGCAGAATGGATAACTTGGGCACTGAAGCTAATGAAGTAAACTTGGATGACGATGATTTAATATATACTCCTCAAGTATCAGATGAGTTGAGGCAAAAAAAAGAGCAAGAATTTGACACAATAGATGATGTTGTGACATTCTATAATGCTTATGCTAAAGCAGCTGGGTTTAGTGTAAGGTCTTGGACTACTCAGAAAGAGCCGGGAAATTATGAAATAAGAAGGAAGGAGTATGTTTGTTTTAAACAAGGAAAATCTTTAAAAATCACGGATGTTGGAAAGAGAAGACGTCGAGGAAGCTTAGCTGAGGATTGTACTGCCAAAATTACTGTTTTAAAATCAAACTCTGGAAAATACATTGTTACTGTTTTTAATGAGGAGCACAGCCACCCACTATCAACACCATCAAAGGTTCATCTTTTAAGGTCACATCGTAACGTTTCAGCCGTAACAAAGTCTCTAACTAAATAGTTATCCATGGTGAATATACCTCAGCATCAACAATTCAGTTTACTTGGAGTACAATCTGGAGGTATAGAAAATATTGGGTGCACTCAAAGAGATTTGTATAATCATGCAAGGGATATCCGTGCTGATTTGAAGGGGCATGGTGGTGAAATGTTTTATGCGTATTTAAAATTGGAATAAGGAAAGAATCCCTCATTTACTTTTCAAATTGAGGCCGATGAGGAACAAAAGATTACTCGTTGGTTTTGGTCGGATGCAAGATCAAGACGGGCTTACAAATTTTTTGGTGATGTTGTAATCTTTGATACTACTTATAACACTAATCGCTATGGCCTTATATTTGCACCAATAATGGGGGTTAACAATCATGGTCAAACAATTGTTTTTGCTTGTGGATTTTTGAATCATGAGAGCGTTGATGATTTTGTATGGTTATTTAATCAATTTTTGAAAAGTATGCCTGGTGGTGCCCCGAAGATGATTATTACCGATCAAGACCCAGCGATGACAAAGACATTCCCTATTGTTCTTCCGAATACTTTTCACAGGTATTATAGTTTGTATATATCATTGAAAATGTTTATATACATAGCCTTTCTTTTTAACATTTTTTTAATTCTTTTGACATGTATTGTAGTTGGTATATATTAATGAAGTTTTCTGAGAAAATTGATGCAGTGAAGTATATAGTATTTACAAAAGTGAGTTCTCGGCTTGCATTTGAAAATCAGAGACTCCCGAAGAATTTGATTTACAATGGGAAAGTCTGATTAAGAAAAGTGGGTTAGAAGGAAACAAGTGGTTGCAAGACCAATATGAACTTCGGTCAAGATGGATTCCTGCATTTGTTAATCACATTTTCTCAGCAGACATGTCAAGTAGCCAACGAGCAGAAAGTGGACATGCATTCTTCAAGAAATTTGTTTCGAAGAATAATTCATTAGTGGATTTTATGATACAGTTTGGCAGAGGACTAGTGCGTCAACGTCACGAGGAGTTGATGGCCGATCACAAAGACTTGATTGAGAAACCTAAACTTAGAATAAATCATGACTTTTTGGAGCAAATGGTTGAAATTTACACTAATGAGATGTATTACAAGTTTAAGGCTGAAGTGTGTGACAACTTTAACTACAAGTTACAGTTTGTTAGGGAAACCGACAATCGTCGTGTGTATCAAATTCAAAGAAAGAAGCTCGCAACAAGCAAAGTCCGCAAAATCGTTTACGACAAGGACTTGGATTTGGTTTCTTGTAGTTGTAAAAAGTTTGAAAGCGCCAGAATCGTATGTACTCACATTATCTCCTACTTGATGAAATTTGATGCTGAAATATTGCCCGATAAATACATCTTAAAGAGGTGGATTAAGTCTGCAAAATCGGGGACAGTGGTTGATGATAAAGGTATACAGATAAGCCCTGACAATTCTTATCTTTTAACACGGAGTCAATTTATCCAATCATCTTTGGAATTAGTTGACAAGTCCCTTGTATGTGAAGAAACGAGGAAGATGTTTACCGATGGAGTGCGTATCATTAATGAGCAAATCGACCAATTCATTAGTAGCCACATGGTTAGTGACCGCACGGTTGTAAAGAGCTTCACCGAGAAAAATAATCAAATGAGTAGTAATTTAATGGATGATGGTACTAGTGTATAGGATTCTTGTACTTTTCAAAATAGTTTCAATGAACCTGATCAAGTGCGAGCAAAAGGGTGCGGCAAAAGGTTGAACGGAGGAAAAGAGAAAGCAATGACTAGAGCAAAAAATAAAAAAGATAGACGTTGCCACGGGTGTGGTAAAGAAAAGAGAAAGCAATGACTAGAGCAAAAAATAAAAAAGATAGACGTTGCCACGGGTGTGGTAAAGTAGGCCAATCACATGATAAGCGAAATTGTCCGGCACTCACAAATCCGTAAGTAGTAATTCCTTTATTATTTAAGCATTTCTTATTCTTCACCTTCTATTATCCCCTTGGTGTATATATATAATTTTTAAAATATAATGTAGGTCTTCTACATGCGGTGATATAAATTGGCAAGAGGGTAATGGGTCATCAAGTGAAGATGGGGATGATGTGCTCATATGAAGACGGTCTTCATCTGAATCTCGTTTTAATGTATGTTATCTTGTACACTCCTTGTTTTTATTTCAAAGTGCTAGATATAAATAAATGGTATATACAACTGAAATAAATCAGGGTTCATAGTCTCAAATTAAACTATATACGTGCAATTTGTTATACATAGGTATACATCCCTCCTTATTGGTAATTGTTTGTATCTTTAAGAATCTGTGAATGAAGAGGTTGTACATGCAATAGCATACGTTCTTAAAGAATCTGTGAATGAAGAGTATCTTCATGCCAATTTCGTGTGCTGGCCATGTTTAGCATTCAATAAACAGAACAGACATTTGAGCCCATATCTGAATTCCCAATGTGTACATCTCGAGTCTGTGCATGACCACATCAAAATATCCATGTGCACAAATGGGGGTTTCCAAAATCTTTTGGCTATGTAGACGCATATTATACTGTACAAAGGTTTTGATGGTGAGGTAAAGAATAAAAAGAAAACCTTTTAGCTCATTCTCTATAAATGTATCACTGTGTTAATTAAGTATTTCTCTTTAAGTCATTCTCTATAAGAGGTATCCTGGTTGAAGCGTAACGGTCTTGTACATGCTACTATTTTGATTACATCTGATGTATACTTGTTGCACGCCCCTTGCAGGTACTGTATTCAAGAATGGAAATTTGCAGATGTGATGTTTTGCAGTTGAGGCCCAAGAAGAAGATCAAGTAGACTAATTATCTGCTTGTTTGCCTTTTTCAGTGATGTTTTGCAGTTGAGGCCCAAGAAGAAGATCAAGTAGACTAATTATCTGCTTGTTTGCCTTTTTCAGTCTGTTACTGCTGCTTTAGTTCACCAAGAAGATCAAGTAGACTAATTATCTGCTTGTTTGCCTTTTTCAGTCTGTTACTGCTGCTTTAGTTCACCTGTTATATGCCTTTTGCATAACAAAGTAAATGCTGTTTTTCAAGTGATGTTGAACATTAACTTTTGCCTGTAATATCAGATTTTATTAGCTCTTTTGGTCTTTTGAGTTTTATATTACATTTTATTTGCAGAGATTATGGGTTAGTAAGTTAAAACTTTTAGATCTGATGGCTTGTGTTTCCTATAATGGATGATTTGCTGGCTGTGCTCGCTCAAGAGACATTTTTCTGTATTCTCATTATGTTTTGAAGTGATCGTGTTGCTTTTCGCTAGTTTACATTTGTGTTTTCTGTTTTATGTTTTGAAGTAGGCCAATCACGGATATTGTGGATACCTTCCTAACATTGAATAGCCAAGAACAAGAAGGTCCATAAAATTTTCAATCTATCCTTGGGAGTCCTTACTTTTTTTATATCAAAACTTATTGTTCTGACATATCTAAATAATTAATCAAACATATAGATTTAGGAATACGACATCAACGAAATCATGCATTCACCATCATTCATATAGCTTCAGAACCTCACAGAACAGAAGTATACACTTGTGCTGAGTAAGAGTTGTTGCAAAAGAGGAGTTGTTGCAACTGCATACAAAACTCACAGAACCTCGATCAAGAGTCAACAAAACTCAGTCGCCTCATCATAATAACTATGCTCAGATCTAAAAAGAACACTTGTGCTGAGTAAACCGAACCAGAAGATGATAAATGAGAATAATCCTTTCTCCATACAAGACACTGAAAAACATTCAATTCATCTTTACCATTAATAAGATTGCACAAAATCATCCAAACTCATCGCAGATCTAGTTTGCTATGCTCATATCTTTGGTAACTAGAGAACGATATCGCAACACCATAAATTTGTAGCTGATTAAAAATCAATTTAACATGAGCTAAACAAAAAGTTTATCCAACAAATACAAGCTCAGCCACAAATACCGCAACGATACATACTACAAATACAACACCATAAATTACATCACATGTTTTTTGCAATGAAGAAACCAACAAATACCGCAACGATACATACTAGAAATACTAGTATTGTAAACAATGAACCTAATACAAAAGCATAGATAGGGAAAATAGAAGTTGTCCCAAGTTTTTCCTTGTCCACATCCAGATTATGGCTCACTGGATATCTTTGTTCTTGATCATAAACAGATGTTTGGACAGGCCTCGAGCTGGATGCTGAATCATGAGCGAGTGTGTGCTTCTCCCATTCAATCAAAGCCTCTTCGTATGTTGCATACCCTTTGTAGGAGGCATTTGGGAACTTATCTACTTGAGATTTACATTCCTCCCAATTATTAAAAATACCACATCGTCGACCTCTCTTCATAACATAAATTTTTTTTCTAGCCATGGATAACCTGAAAATACCCCAAATTGGTGGGTAAACAAAATTTTTATCCCATAGTTACTTTCATTTCTATTTACCAACACGAATATTACATAGGAACAACACAAGCAAGAACAACAGTTAGCCCACATTTGACACATTTGATTGAGCTAAAGCAGCATTAACAGACTGGAAATTTTGACCTTTTGGTTCATTCTATTAAAGTTTTTTCTTTGGCATAAAATTTCCTAAAACTATTTGTGGGGGGTTGCTCACACGACTGAATAAAATCCCTACAATCAATAACAATTGGCCGGGCCATTTTTGCTAGAAAACAATGAACTTTGATGTCATACCATTTTGGGGCTAGTAGAAATCATTCCCATGTGTTGTATTTCAAACGAGCTCATCAACAAAACAAATTGGATAACTGATACAAATTGGTCTCTCAGCTCTGTCACATGATCTACCCCGTATAAGCAAGGTCTATAATGAAATCAAATGAATCAATCAAAATGTTAATGTGACAGAAACCACCAACCTGCTTCATTTTGCTAATTCCTGAACAAAAGATTTCATATATATATTTGACAAAAAGTGGGGGAAAATATATATTACAGGTCGAAAATTTGAAGAATCGATAACTGATACAAATTGGTCTCTCAGCTCTGTCACATGCTCTACCCCGTATAAGCGAGGTCTATAATGAAATCAAATGAATCAATCAAAATGTTAATGTGACAGAAACCACCAACCTGCTTCATTTTGCTAATTCCTGAACAAAAGATTTCATATATATATTTGACAAAAAGTGGGGGAAAATATATATTACAGGTCGAAAATTTGAAGAATCGCATGATGCCGCGGGGGAGGTCCGACTGGAGATCTCAGGACAGTGATTGGCGGATCTGGAAGCTGCGGATCTGGAGATCGAGCTCGTCGTCATTGTGGATGCTGCGGGGGAGGTCCGACTGGAGATCTCAGGACAGTGATTGGGGATCTCGTAGGAGACGGAGGAGGAGCTCCGATTGAAGATCGTCGATGTTGTGGATGCCTCGTAGGAGACGGAGGAGGAGCTCCGATTGAAGATCTGAGGAGGGATTGGGGATCTCAAGGAGACGGAGGAGGAGCTCTGATTGAAGATCTGAGGAGGGATTAGGGATCTCAATGGTTGAAATTTTGGGTCACGAGAGTGAGCTGGAGATCGCTGTCGTGGGGAGAGAGAAAGACCCATTTTGTGTCACGAGAGGGGATTTATCGGTGACATTTTGCAAAAAAACCCAGCCCTTTAAAAACCGCAGCGGTCACGAGGTACGATCAATCAGCGGTTTTTTTTGCAAAAAAACCTACAATCGGATGAATTAGCCTCAATGCGTACGAAGTGATCCGTATGAGAAATCCTCTGTATATATATATATATATATA